ACATCCCAAGGGCCTGCCCCTTATTCTCATATATTTGTTCACCTCCTCGGAAAGAAAAAATCGTTCAAGTGGATTGAACCCCCCCCACCTTGATGATGCCGCGAGTTCTGTGATGCAGAGGGCACTAGCCAGCGCTGATTCCACCATCTCGGAAAAACCGGGCTCAGACAAGGTGGCGTCCGCGACTTGACATTGCTGTCCAATCTCCAGAACACTCATTGCAAAGTCAAGAGCTGTACTCGACACGTCATGGTCCCTATCAGACACAATAAACAGGGAACAAATTAATAAAAACATTATCACACAGTTAATCTTTTCAGGAGCCGAGGAAGGGTGCAAAAAGCAAGAAGGAACAAATTTTCTGCTGTGTAGTTCGTGTATGCAGCTAATTTCGTTGTTTTCGAAGTCAAGCTTTGTAGGACGGATGTTCTGCATTCTGTATATAGGTCTGTACTGAGACAACTTCATTAACTAGAGTACTAACATGTTGAGAGTTCAAGCTCACAATGGAAACGGCTCAGCTTAGACCCTTTCACTAAACCAGCAAACAGCATAGATAGCCTTCAGCTTAGAGTCTTTAGACTCATCCAGCAAAGATACTCCCTGTTTAAAAAAAAGGAAAAAAAAAAAAAAAACATGAATAACCTACAGGTCCAGTACAGGAAGACTCGACCAGAAAAGAACGTAACAACATGCAGTCTCGAGTCTCGACTCAACCGGCAAACACAACATAAACAACGTATAGCTTAAACTCAACCAGCAAACAACATAAACTGCCTTCAGTGTAGACTCAACCAGCAAATAACCATAAACAACCTGCAGTTTAAGACTGAACAGATGTCCCAAGCATACCAATTGCTGACTAAACAGGTGTCCAGCAAAGATACTCCCTGTTTAAAAAAGAAAAAAGAAAAAAAACATGAATAACCTACAGGAAGACTCGACCAGAAACGAACATAACAACATGCAGTCTTGACTCAACCGGCAAACACAACATAAAAAACGTATAGCTTAAACTCAACCAACGAGCAACATAAACCGCCTGCAGTGTAGACTCAACCAGCAAATAAGTTGAAATAACCATAAACAACCTGCAGTTTAAGACTGAACAAATATCCCAAGCATACCAATTGCTGACTATACCATCAAACTGTTTCCCCCCTCCCTCGATTTGCAGAAGAGCTGGGTTCCAGGGAGGTCAAATCGTCAAATATCCCAAGCCTTCCGTTTCCGCCCCCCTCCCCCCTCGATTTATGCATGTCATCCTTGCGCAGCGCCCATGCTTATCTTCTCTGTATCGTTCCAATTTTAACGGATGTCCCGAAAGACGACGTCGAACTGTTTTGTTTTCAAACCTACCATCTTTCCCCAACACAACACACCCTTGTCATGACTGTACCAGACCGGAAAGCTGGCCTGTGCACATTCATAATCGGAGTATGCTATGTTCGGGGAAAGAATAATGCAGTACAGACTCCGAACCATGATGGTACCGCACTCTGTTTACAGTACTGCATTCGGAGTGACTCCGCAGCATTATGAATAGAGGAGAACGACTGGGAAAGGAAGGCATTAACGTACTCATCGCTCGATGCAGCGACTCGCCGCAACACTCGGAGGCTTTGATGAAGTATCTCAATTGCTGATGGTGGTGTGACCTCTCTCATCGAGGAACAGACATAAAGAGCTGGTGATGCTACATCAATAAGCACTGTCTCTGTGTCATCTGGAAGATGAATCTGTGGGTACTGTTGCAGGACAAAACCCTGTGCAAGTAAAAAAGCCAAGTTCAGCCAACAGTATTATCTCTAGATCTCAATCACAGCTTTAACTTCGTGACTTATTGATAATATCAAATATTTTCATTGATATCTCTTCACAAAATATCCTTAGATCACAGTCATAGCTAGAACATAATGATTAATTGAATTATTGATTGAATTTAATTCATTGATACAGTGATGCATTTATTAAAAGGATTTTCATTGATTTATCGATTCATCGATATTTGTCGTTAATCATTCACGGATTCCCCGACATATTAAAGCATTAAAATTCAAAAGCAACGAATTGATATCAGGTGCGGGTTCAACTTCACAAAAGCGTAAGAGAACCAACGAGTCCCGTCCAACGACAGCATAATGTGATGTGAAATGCCACCTGACATACTTGCTCATTGAATCATCTACGTGAGCATTTTGATTGCTGATGCAACTTCACAAAAGCTTAAATCAATCACCAGTATCTCCGTGCCTCTTTTTTGGCGAGGCAGATTCCCCACTGCGCGCCAAGAAAAAATGAACCGCCGCAGACGCTTTTTCTTTTTCTTTTGCCTGGCACCGCCATACATTTTGGTCCAGTAGAACTGTTCATCCGAAGACCCATGCAGCTGAAGCATAACTGCGCTGTGAAATGCCACATCATCCACCATTTCATATGTATTGGGCACAAATGACCCGACAAGTTCACACACACACACACACACACACACACACACACAGACACACACACACACACACACACACAGCCCTAAAACCCAACCTCTCTCTCTCTCTCTCTCTCTCTCTCTCTCTCTCTCTCTCTCTCACGCGCGCGTAAGCTGCGGTGCAAGGAAGTGGTAGTCTACAGATGAGAGTGCAAAGGCAAAGCAAACCATGGTGGGAATAAAAGCCAGGTCCAGCACGTGAACAGGGGATCAAATCCATAGACACACCCCAAAGTAGCAGTCGAGTATGAGAAAGCACTGGTAGAGAAGTGGAAAATCCTTCCTGTCGAGGAAGCAATCAATGGACCCTCCACCCGGTTTCAAATATATACATAAAACACCAGCAGAGTGCACATCGAAATTGAAGCCAGAAGGTAAATACTGAATATGAACCACAGCATGAACATAAGCATTCAACCAGGAAGTATGAAAACCTGGATTTGCACCAAACCATGTCGAGAATGCAATCGAGGGAGCAAATCCAAGTAGGGGAACTGGAGGAAGGAGAAAGAATGACTAAGAACTTTTTTCAGAAGATTAAAATCAATGCACGCAATAAACTCATCGATCAGCTGAAGAAGGGAGACACTACAACATCGGACCCTCAAGAAATGCTGACTATAGCAGCGGACTTCTACAAGGAGCTCTACACTTCGAAGGAAGACCATCATCCTTCAATTCAAGTACAAGAAGCGAGACAAAAATTTCTATGCCACCTGGATAAAACTCTGTCGCAGGAACAAGCAGCAGAGCTGGACAAGCCAATCACACCAGAGGAAGTCAAGTTACCACTGCTCTCCATGCAACCGAAAAAAACTCGGGAAGAGATGGACTGTCGAAGGAATTTTGGCAGACATTCTGACCAATTTTTCAGAGAGAATACACTAATTTCCTTAACACAGCCTACCATGAAGAAGGATTAGGCAAGTACATAAGCACAGGAGTTGTTACACTGCTATACAAAAAGGGAGACCCTACAGATATCAGGAATTACCGTCCAATAACTCTACTCACGGTAGTATACAAGATACCGGCAAAACTGCTAGCCAATCGGCTTAGGAATATCATCCGGAGCTGCTTCCATATTGATCAAACAGGATTTATCCCTGGGAGATACATCCTCGACAATGTTATGACACTAACAGAGTCGGCACGTTACATCATGGACAAGAAACTCAACGCAGCTATACTCTTCTTTGACTTCGAAAAGGCATATGATCAGGTTAACTGGAACTTTCAACAACAATGTATGGAGAAGATGGGAGTGGGACCGAACTTTCGAAAATGGGTGAGATTACTTTACAACGATTCATATGGTCAAGTGCAACTCAATGGCTTCCTTTCTCCGCCATATAAAATGAGCCGTTCAGTGCGTCAAGGAGATCCACTAGCAGCCCCCCTCTTTCTTTTCACCATGGAGGGCGATAGCGTCTTTCTTGAGAAAGGACCCGGCAATAGAACGTCTAGTTGCGTTACCTACCACTCTCCTTTTTGTGAACGATCTGACAGTTTTGATCAGAGCCTCCGGCGCTTCATTTCAAGGACTGACACGTACTATGCAAGCTTTCCAACTGCCAGCAGAAATGAATGTCAATTGGCAGAAAACCACCGGTTGGTGGCTGGCAGAAACAGAGCAACCATCTCAGGACATCACGCGCGAAGGGTTTACATGACAGGATCCCAAGACGCCACTGAGGTTCCTAGGCATCAATCTCACAAACGCAGGACCTGATCAGGCGATGGCTCCAGAGATGTTAACGCGCATGATCCGCAAATTGGACAGCTGGACCAGTATCTACACGTCAGTATTTGGAAGAGCACTGGTACTCAATGCCTCCATCTTCTCTATGCTCTGGTATGCAGCTTCCATTTGGACACCGGAGTTCAAAATGACAAAGGCTCTCAAAACACGTTCTACAGCTTATCTGTGGACTCGTAATCCTTCCACCCAGAGTTTCATTCGCAAGGTTGCCTGGGGGTACCTCCCACAACCAAACGGACAAGGAGGTCTAGGAATTCTGGATCCAGCAGACGAAAGCTTTGCAAACCAAGTGGATAGTGAAGCTGCTCACTAACCACACACTACCGTGGAATTCCTGGGCACTCTACAGAATCAGAAAACTCCCAAAGGCCTCTTCCCCGGATAATATGAGAGGATATTTTTGGCTGATGTCCAAATCATGGTCCGCCCGCAGAGGGGTACCGCATCAGCATCACCATCAACTGCAACATGCCTCGCAGGAGGATTACTGGATGTACCTCATCAAATCCTGGAGGGAGATCTTCCCAGCCAAGACGCGAAGACCAACAAACAGGGAAGAAGTGTTAAGGCAACCGCTCTTTTGCAACCAATGGATTAAAAATCAAGCCGATAAACCCTGGACGCTAATGACCCAGGATGGAAAGTGGATAAAGTGGGTTGAGAAGGGCGCCTGGAAAATCAGTCACATTTGGAACAGCCAGCACAACCGATGGAAAACATGTCCAAAACTCGGGGATATGCTCGAGGGTTGCCATAATCTGCTAGATAATCTCACAACACTCCTTCAATCAATTCCCCCAGAATGGCAGCAGATTCTGCAAGCGCCCTCCAAATGGACAGCAGGAGAGTAGAGGAAGATGGGAAGTTATACCGACAGTGACCCTTTCTTTCGTCAAGCACACGTGTCCGGCAGGAGAATGGGCGTTGTGGTCAATTCATGACATACAGCAACCGGGACAGACTATTAGCGTCGTCACTAAGACAAGTGAAGCTAAAGTAACAGCCAGGACGTCTGCAGTGAAGAAAGTGAGAGTGATTGAAGATGACGAGTACAGAATCTTCAACCCCATGGAGGAGTTGCAAGAACTCGAATTCGACCCAGCTGAATGGGCTGGAAAACTTCTTCTGCTCTAACAACAGTAGAGCGCAGAACAAATATCCTCGATTACACAACCAGGTTTGGATACAAACTGCGGAGGCAATCAGTCAATACAAGTGATACACTTCTAACAAGATGGCAGAAGCACGTTTCAGGTGGTCTGGGGACCGGGACTCAGATCTCATGTCAAGTCCCGTTAGCAATCAGAAACACCCGCATCAGGAGTATGCAATGGCTCATCTACTATCATGCACTTCCAGTCAACAAGTGGCTGAACAGGCAGCGTTCACAGGGGGACAGACACCCACTAGATGATCTCTGTGCTATTTGTCAAGAGGGAGTCTCTGAAGACCTCCTTCACTGCTTGCTGTTCTGCTCAAAAATGCGATTTGGAAGAGAACAGAATTGTTGTGGGCTTCTCTAACAGGAACAACCCTGACAGGCGACAGCATTACAAGGCTAACTGGGCTGCAGGAACCAAACCTATCCACGGTGTGGCAAAGGACCTTCTTTCAAAGACTCCAACCTCTTACTCTTTGGATAATATGGAAAAAAAGGTGCAAGGAAACTATAGCTTTTCAACTCACATCAGAGCCAGAAGCTTGGCAGAATCTCCTTCACCTACTACAGGACGAATGTCAAGCTGATTGGAGCGACGATCATAAAACTAGACCCCACAAGGCAACAAGAAGTTGTCGACAAGTTTAAAAAAGAAACACTGGGTGAAGGAAAGCTAGGAGACATTGAAGGCAATATTCCAAGGTTACTCTGGAAAATTGCAGGGACCCAACAGAGTGATCAACAGGAAGATACAGAAAACCTGATGTCACTTGTTCAGGACCAATCACAGGTAGTAAACTTGGGATTGCTATAAAAGCAACGACACTTATTCCCCTGTTAGATCAACTCAGGTTTTACTTCTAGACTATAAGTTGTTATAGCGAAGTAACAATAGAATGTAGGGTTTAGGGTTTAGGGTTTAGGGTTTATACAGAAATCAGACCAAGAGGTTTTAGTTCTCTTCAGGAAGTCATATGTGTCCCGATAAACTCTGGTAAAACACACCTATCCGACAGTTTCAACACTGAGAGGAGTACAACCGGGATTATAGAGACTGGTAATGGACATAGTACAGGCTAACTTATGCAGGGGTGAGGGGTGGTATATCCTTCCTGAGGGAAGTAATCAATGCCGCCCTCTCGGCCCTGTAGGGGACCAAATGCAAACTGAAGCACAAATGTAAACCATGAAATAAAAAAGAATTCCGCATGTAGGAACACGCATGTAGTGTGCAAGTTCCATTTCTATTCCTTGAACATGTTGAATGAACAGGGCAACAAAATATAAAGCACAAACACAAATCAGGAGACAGAGTTAAAAAAAAAAAAAAAAGGAGACAAAGTTAAACCATGGCTGAGATACAGACCGTGGCAGAAATGTCAACCTGGCTACAATTGATAAACCATGGTCACTCACACCAACGCGCCTCTCTCAGTTGGTACACCCGTGAACTGTTGAAATACAGACCAAAGCTCAAATCCCGATGGGCAAGATGAATGAAAGTCTTGAATTACCCGGGGCCAGCAGCTATGGATCTGCACATCTGAGCCCTAAGTCCTCCTCCGTGCAAGCACGGATTCAAACTGGCAACCTCGGTCTCAAGAGTCAAGTATCTTAACCACTGCAGCCAGTACACGGTGTTCAATGGTGGAACCGTACCGGCCGTGATATCCACCCCACCCCTGCAAGTGTGTAGTGTCCAACTTGAAACAGTGTTCAAAAGTGCAACCATACCAGTCATGATATCCACCCCACCCCTTTGCAAGGCTGCAGTGTCCAACAACACACACCACACACAACACCTCACAGACACGGCACCAACACGGGAGCAAGGCTGTAGTGTCCAACGAAACACACCACACGCAACAACACACAGGTACTCCCGTCAGCACAAACCCTACCACTGGTACTCCCGTCCCGTCCACCAACAGGGGAACCAGTCATGACGATTCTCGCACATGTCGCTCCAATCAACCATACCAGTCATGATATCCACCCCACCTCCTGCAAGGCTGCAGTGAACAACGACACACACGACACACAACACTTCACAGACACGGCACCAACATGGGAGCAGGGCTGTAGTGTCCAACGACACACACCACACACAACAACACACAGGTACTCCCGTCAGCACAAACCCTACCACTGGTACTCCTGTCCCGTCCACCAACAGGGGAACCAGTCATGACAATTCTCGCACACTTCACTCCAATCAGCACAAACCCTAAACCACTGGTAATCCCATCCCATCCACCAACAGGAGAACCAGTCAGTTCCACTATCATATCTCAAGGCTGTTGCCCTTTGTTGAAAAAAAAGAAAATGAAACGTGCCTATGTGAATCGGTACACCCATGAACTGTTGAAATACAGACCCAAGCTCGAATCCCGATGAACAAGATGAATGAAATTCATGAATTACCCGGGTCCAGTCAGTTCCACTATGACATCTCAAGGCCGTTGCCTTTGTTGAAAAAAAGAAAGAAACGATAAACCATTGTCCACTCGCTTTACACATCCCGGCAATTGTCACCAACCTGTGATATGTTAACAGATAAAAAAACATAAACTGAAGATGTGCATTCCACACGTCTGCAATATGCAGAACACAAGCGCAATGTCACGTGTGGAATTCCACATGAATCTCGAAGTCCGGAAAATCACCAACCTGTGCCCGCAGCAGCAAAAGAATCCGCCTCATGTTATTGTGCCATTCAGCTGTGACACCGCCCATAGCACTTGTGGACACTCCTGCGGCAAGAGCACGAAGGTCCTGCAAATCACCAAAATGAAGTGAGCACTCCCTATTGTACATGACCTTCTAGACAGCTGTGACTGTGTGACCTATATATATGGACGGAATGTCTGATATTTTCGACAGCGTCACACAGTCAAGTGACCAATCAATAAGAACGCAAATCATCCGAGCAGCAAAAGACTCCAAGGCAGAACCAGCATATATGAGCAAAGTGGAAAGCAGAAGTACAAGGCCAGGAAAACAGCAAATGAGAAGACACTGACAGTGAGGTTTCTTGATACAAAAAGCCCAAGTTCTTCCCTCCACTCATCAATACCACCGCAATGCAGCAGGTCTACTATGATGTGACCGCTATTACTACTCTCCTACTTTCTGTCTATTTACAGCCTACTTCTCTCTCTATCTCACTCTCTCCTCTCTCCCTACAATGCTGCAGATTCTGACCATCACGAGTGTGCTTTTGGCCATCGCCAGGTAAGTCCGCCTGTTCCCACTGCTGTCCTCCTCAAATCACCTGAGGCCCAGTGCCACCCTTCTCCCACCTCAGCTCATCTATGGCTGCCACTGAGCGAAGCAGCTACCCCGTGGCTGCTCCTCCCTCATGTGAGCACTGGCCTGGCTGCGTGCGTTATGAGCAGAGCTAGCGCTGGCAGCCAGTGCCTTCGAATGTATGGAATGGTGCAGCCTCCTTCATTTTGTTGTTTCCTGGAGGCTGTGGATGCCTGGCTGGGACTGGGCTTCCAGTCTGAGAACCTTTTGGGCTGAGTACCAGGGCCTCAGCATCTGCAACTAACTTTGGAGGCTGGGCCTACCCATTAATTGGAGAGGATGCACCCAGCCTTCCTTCCAACTGCCTCATGCCAGCCTTCACTGAACACCGGCAGACACGTCTCTGCGCCGGCCTTCACGTAGGGACAAACCTGAATTTTCTGGATGGCCCCTGGTGGAGGCCTGCCAAGGCCTTTAGCCTCGCATTAGCATAGCCTCTGTACAAGGATGAGTGCCAATTGTTAGCCTTCACTGGTTGCATGTCAGGTGAGCCTCAATTTGCCAGGGAGACCAATTGGGATCAGCGAGGAAGGGTGGCAGTGAGGGTTGGCGATACTTGTGGTGGCCGAGGAGCACTCAAGTGGGTCAGACAGACTCTGCACCGTCATCTGGCAAGAGGACCGCAGACAGGAGTGGGAGAGAGAGTGGTGGGATGTATGTAGAGAGAGTGGGAGAGTAGCATAGGTGGACACATCAATAGTAGACCTACAACATTTTTATTGTATTGATTATTGGAGATGAGAATTGGGGCTTTCTTTGTTAAGGGACATTAGTGTTCAGCCTGTTCTCATTTGGTGTGTGCGCTTGGCTTTGTAATTCTGCTTTTAACTCTGCTCAAGTATGAATGTCTTGCTACGAGTCTTTTGCAGCTCTGAAATTTTGATCTCTCATCGATTGGTTCCTTGCATAAGCACCAAATCAGTAAATGTCCACTGAACTTCACTCTAGAGTCCAAACCATACGCGCAGCGCACCTGTGCGGTGTGCCATGCGTCGTGCGCGGATTGTTGATTTGCGTGCACGTGCGCAACGCGTGCACATGTGCAGCACGCTAGGCTGCGCAGCACTGCACCTTGAGTTCCGTACAGGTGCAGAGTGCTTTTTTTTGTGTGTGCGTGTTGTGTGAGTGAGAGACGGAGCGACAGGACAGAAGTTCGAGAAACGCTCGTCGGTAAAGGAAGAACAGCACGCATTCTACAATGAAAAGAACAGAGAAACACCACCACACAGCGTGAGCACCCTCATCATGACTGTATAGGAGCTGAAAAGTACCTCGTATACATCCAGAGAGAGATGTAACGGCCACTTCAGGGACTCCACGATTCTCGGAGTAGCTGCCACCCTCTTTGCATGCACACAAACCATTTTTGAGGTTTGATACAATCATGATGAGGATGTGTGGTGTTGCCCGACACATACTAAAAAGTGGACTGCCAGAAAGCTGTCAGAAGCATGGTCAGACACGCACAGCAGGTTTCCAGAACACAACCCACCCTCATTATGACTGTATAGGACCTGGAAGACGACTTGGATGCATCCACGCATAGGGCAGAGGTAATGGGTCTCGCTGCAACGCACACAAAGCGAGAAACTTGAAAGTTGAAGGAATTCACTATGACTACATTGACTAGTAACAAGTGCATATTGCCAACTCTGCGGGCAGGTGCACTCCTTTTTTCATCCTTCCATGTGGCGTGTAAGGAGACCAAGGAGCCGTAATGGAAAATGGTACAGCAGGTTTTTCTCTTTTTTTGTGGCTTTTTTTGTTTTAATGGGATGTTTCGTGAACTGCTGGTATGATTCTGGAATGTATCGGAAGTCGATGTCGGTCAGGTTACTTCAAGAACTCGGACTTAGGGGATACTCACACTAGGACTTTTCCTATTACCCTCTGGATGTGACTGCTGTCAGATTCATCCAGGTTAGGGCATACAAGCAGTCCAGATGCATTAAGAGAAGTGCCACTGTTCGTAGGCCCTTTAGAGGGCATGCGAAGATGTCATAACTGCAACTGCAGGTGTGAACTGCTGATCATTATTAGAAAAAAAAAACAAAAACTTCCCATTGAGGCAACTGAGGTGTGAACTGCTGATCATTATTAGAAAAACAAAAAAACAAAAAAACAAAAACTTCCCGTTGGGGCAATGTACATTACCATGATTAACTCATATATCGTCTTTGTATACTCAAGGTTCCCCCCACCTTTGAGGCAATGTACATTACCATGATCACCTCATATATCGTCTTTGTATACTCAAGGTTCCTCCTTTTTTTTATTTTGAACCCCACTTTTTGGGGTGCGCTGCATCACGTGCATGCATGTGCGCTATGCGCCGCATGTGTGAGCGGGGCGCACACGAGATGCGCCGCAAGTATGCTCTAAACAATTTCAACATTCAATATTCCGAAACTCTTTTACTACGCCTTTTGTTACTACTTTTACCTGCATCAAGTTGGTGTGAAAAGAAGCTGGTTCCAGCATGACGTAGTCAGGAAAGCGCTCCACATCCAGGAGGTTCTGCAGATAAAATGGGGTAGAATACACAGCATCTGCAAAGCAGATCAGACCCATACAGTGTGTGGCTTTGTAAGTCAAACAAATGTCACCCGATTTGACCCAAACAAATAAAGAGAATGTAGCAAAATATTAAAAACTCCTTCACTTTTCCCCTGTTGCCTATAACCATCCATTCATACAATTCGGCACTGCATGCCAGTTGTGGTCAGAAACTAGTACGTAATATGTATGCATCTGGTCAGCAACTACTACATACTACATATGCATCTGGCTATCACGATTACTTCGCACTTGTTAGCAATATGCATTTGAATCAGAACCGGAACTTACTATCAACTTTGCTGTTGGAAGATGTGAGTCCTTTGGGACATCCACTAAGATAAGAAAATTTAAATTGGACTGATAAAGAGAAGATAATCTGAGATTTCAAAAAAAAAAAAGGGGAGAAAAAAAAAAGACATGGCCCCTGGGCGAGGTTGACACACACAATTCCAGAAAAGGGTTTAGAGTTTACGATGTAGGATAGGAAATGACAGCGAACAAATCGAGTGGGATAGGATAGGAGGTGCAGAGTCTTTAGAAATGAATCGGACGGCTTAGTTCAACACTTTTCTTCCCCTCCTTCACTGTGTTGATCTTTTGTTTGTCAAGTTTCGATGTTTTGTTTCGGGAACAAAGCATGTTGGATTTTGAAAGCATGGGACACTGGACCCGTTTTCCAGTATGAGCCTATGCTGGTATGGACCCCAGCATCCCGGGTTGAGATGTGGAGGGATTCCCGGCCACCTTGTGCTCGTGTAATAGAGTCATGCTATTCTTCTTTTTTTTTTAACAAAAAAAAAGAAAGTGTTTTTCAAGAACTCTGACAGCAGAGCCTCTTGAGAACTCATGAGTTGTTGTAATTCCGAAACAACAGATTCGCTTCTTGCTTAAGATGTGTGCAAACAACTTGCACGTGTGACGAGACTGAATTCTTTGAAAAAAAAATCAAATAATCCTTACCTATGCCGTTGACTTTGACACTCCGACAACTGTATTCACTTATAATCGAGGCAACAATAAATATTATTCTTTACTAGGAAACATTTCTGGGGTCCCCGTCATATCTATATACTATTATACATATGAAACTCCGACGAAACAGTTTGTCACAGCCCCTCGTTTGTTGTCCTCTTCTCTCTCTCTGCCTACGGTTTTACCGGGCAGTTCTGTTTGTGACGATATATATATATCGACATACATTATCAAACAGACCTGCCCGGTAAACCGTAGGCAGAGAGGGAGACGAGGATAACAAACGAGTGGCTGTGACACACTGTTTCGTCGGTTTTTCCCCAACTCATCAGGAATATATATTTTTCACGTATCTATCAACTAAAAGAGTGCACTTTGCCTTTCTTTGTCCACTTCCTTTTTTTTTCTTTTTGCCTTTCTTTGTTCCACTTCCTTCCTTGTCCGATTGGCTTTCCGAAGGCGGTTAAGCTATCGTTTTTTGACAGAATGCTGCAGCCCTCTTCATGCTGTTGTATGGATTGAAACTTCCAGCAATATTAATATATAAACTGCCTTTCAAAAGAAAAAGAAAAAAAAAACAGAGTGCACTTTGCAAAACGAATGACGAAAATAGCAAACAAATAAAAGAGTTCCATAACTCCAACTCCCGTCCTTGGTTTGTTGCTGGGACGTCTACATTAGCAGCAAATACACCTTTCTACTCCAACCCCCCCAAAAAGGATGATCATATGCGATGATTGACCTGCGAGCTCGGGATACACTTGTGCTGGACGAGGGAAAAACAGACTGATTGCAAGAGGATTCTCCGCCCGCGCTTTGACTGCATGGTCGAGTATCTTTTCCAAATGTTTGACGAGTCGATTCCTCATTGATGCATTCCATATGACTTCTGGGCTTTCCTCCCCAGAGTTCACGAGTTCAACAAAAGCGTGCGCACCCTGTTAAAAAAATACAAAACAGGATCACAATTTTCACCGCTTTAGTCCTACATGCAAGTACATGCTGTAGTGATGGTCACATGCTTCTCTGTACTATTTTTTTGCATGGAATTAGCACAGCCAGGAAATCATGAAACGTTCCGAAAAGCAAATCCCTGTTTGGGTGTCTGCGCCAGGATGTCCAGGCTGGATTGGAAATTGATTGGACTGCCAGGGTCAGATCAACTGTTCCATTCGTTCGAAGACGTTCGAAGACGTCCGAAGACGCAAAAAAATACAATACGAGGCGACACAAGTGTGCAAACGAAATCAGATGCGAGCCATAGAACGAAAAGCGAAGAGAGAGAGAGAGAGAGAGAGAGAGAGAGAGAGAGAGAGAGAGAGAGAGAGAGAGAGAGAGAGAACATATCCTATCCACGGATCCCATGGCGAGGAGACTATAGAGTCATTGGATTTTGAAACCCGCCCACTGATCCATATGTTTACCAGGTGGAATTTTTTCCTTTATGCACTGTTTGGTGCTACAGTAGATTAAAAACCCACGCTTTACAATAATGAAAACAAAGGGGGGGGGAATGGGAAAAAAAATGGTGAAAAAAAAAAACATGGCAGAAACGCGAATGCGGAGGTCTCAGCAACCAAGGACCTGAGTTGCCGTTATGACACAAAAATTGCTGGCAAAGTGGACGGCCATGGTGACTGTATGCACATTAATCGGATATGGAAAGAATGATTATGGTGTGAAAACAAAAGGTGGCTATTGCGCGAAAACCTAGGCTACCAGCCAGGCCACCTAGGTCACCCTGTTTTCCCGGGCGGCCCGGCCGTGCAAGGACCACGGAGGGTCCCAGCAAAAAAAAAAAAAAACCGAAAAAACACTATGTTATGCAGAAAAATGAACAACTTTTGCCTCAGGGTCACATCGAAATTCTGTACCAAATTAAAAAATAAAATAATAATAATAATATAATTTATTATTATTATTTTTGGCCCGGCCCGGCAACTGGTCCGAGGACAGTCTGGTAGCCTAGGCAAAAACGTAAGGCAATCTGAAAACGAAAAATTGCTGCCAAAGTGGATGGCAACGGTGAGCGTTTGCATATTAATCAGATATGGAAAAAATGATTATGGTTTGAAAACACTCTGAAAACAAAAGGTGGCTGTTGTGTGAAAACACTGAAAACGTAAGACGATCAGAATTACTTGGCAAAAACAGGAAGAATTCCGGAAAAGGATGACACTGTTACCTCTGTGCAGAGCTTCATTATCACTCCTTCAGGCAAGTACAGCTGGAGGATGCTATCCTGCCAAAGCCCATTTCCCAACTTTCCTCGACTCTTTAGCATAGCATGCGCTAATGCATCTTGGTCCTGCCATACCACAATTTGACAGGCACACAGAGAAGCATGTGCTCATTACTCCAGCAATTGCACCAAAGATTGTTGTCACCATTCATGCACACTTAGAACAATTCAAACCACGCTTCCATTGGGTACCTGATGTCTTTGATGTGGCCCCTTGATGTGTTTCTTTTTTTTTTTTTTTTTTTTTTGACACACCACAACACTCGAGCCCCATCTGTTCTGAGGGGTACCAGACTGGTTACTCATTTGTGGCAAGCTTTTTTTTCTTTTTTTCTTTTTTCAATCTGGGCAGGACTTGCTCGGAAAAACTAAGGCACCCCCCTTTAAACCCCTTTAGCCCCTTTAAAATTCATTTACACTCCCCTTTCCCCCCCTTGACAGCCAACACTCAAAAAAAGAAAAGAGCCCGGATTTGGGCTCCTCTCGGAGAGCGCGGAAAAAACCCACCGCCAAATTCGCCTATATATATATATATCGTCACAAACAGAACTGCCCGGTAAACCGTAGGCAGAGAGAGAGAAGAGGACAACAAACGAGGGGCTGTGACAAACTGTTTCGTCGGAGTTTCACCGACTCATCAGGAGGCTGTATATATATATATATATATATTTTGCCATGACCGGGTCACCCGGGCGTCATACCCCCCCGGGCGTCACTCCCGGGTGACCGGCCGGTCATGAAAATCTTCCTAGGTGGTCAGTTCCTGAACTAGCAGCTACTTTTTTTTTGCTGAAACACAGAGGCCACGAATTCCTCTACACCTCCAAAATGGTGTACGTTGTGTTCCCCGGATAGGCATGTACCATTCAGCTACCCTCTTCCCACTAATGGAACGCACCCTCCACATGACTGCATTGGACCAGCTTGTATACATTCGCAATTAGGGTGTGTTGTGTTTGGGGGAGCGACAGCAATCACTGGGTAACTACGTCATTCCTCTCTTCTGTCCAGAGGATCGAAAATCATGAAAGGAGATTTCCAAGAACAAACACAAAAACAAGGAACGTACAGAGAGCCCTAGACAATGGTGCCACAGGTGAAAAAACCTAGCTGCCTTCCCTAGAAAGGAATGAAAAAGAAGATGTAAAGTTGGGGGACTAGAATTATTGAATCTGTAACCTTTCTCGGCCTTTTGGCTAAAATAGATCAATTGCACTGTCTCTGTTCTGAACAGTTTAATATCTGATCCGTGGTCCATCGGACCACACTAAAAAAGAATTATTGACCTGTAGATTCAGTATATTTCCTTCTTTTTTTTTTTCATCCTTGCACAGATGCCACGCTAATCTTCTCTGTATCATTCCAATTTCAAGTTTCAACGGATGTCCCGAAGGACAGGATTCAGTACATTTCCTCTTCTTTTTTTTTTTTCTTTTTTTTTTGGTTGAAAAACAAAGCTCCGATCTATTCATGGGGAGGAGCACGTGCTGGGAAACAGGGCCAGCATCTCTCATGAAATTGTATGGACTATACATAAACATTAACCCCTGGGAACCTGGGGATTTTCCAATTGCTGGAAACCGGGTCCAGCATCCCATCTCTTCCTAAATCCAAGACCCTGGCCTGGGGACAAGTTGAGGACCACTGGGGGCCACGAGTGGGATTCAGTACATCATTTCCAATGCCAAAGAAGATATAAAATTGGGGGATCAGAATTACGGATAAGCATTGCATAACCATAAATGAGATCTTGAATTGATACGAACCTGGTGAAGATGAGAGGCGCCAAGGAATTCGGCGATGGACACGCGGTCAGCATCGGTGATGGTGCCACAGATGAATTTCCAGAGGAGAATCTCAAAAAACCCATGTCTGTAGACCTTGGAGAGAGCACCCTTATATGACATTGCAATGTTCTTGACAATGCTCATTAGCCTGGACAGGTTGCGGCAGATAAACGGTACGAAAAAAAGGCATAAAAATGACAAAACATGGCCCAGATGAGCAACACAGCACCAACAGCAAGAACAGCAACAGTAAGAAAAAGCACAAAAACATGGAACATAGAGATAGTCATCGACAATCTAAAATACAGGAGGCGGAGATAGGGATGACAGCGACCTGAGGGGAAGTACAATTGGCCTACTCTTAGGCTGGTAACTACAATATGATAGCCAGTGACTGAGTGACTTCAATGCATGAATCGAGGATGATGCAGGGACACATCCGAGAGAGCGAAAAGAAAGGCAAGAGAGGATGGCACAGCGAGAGAAAGCAGACAGCACAGAGAGAGAGAGAGAGAGAGAGAGAGAGAGAGAGAGAGAGAGAGAGAGAGAGAGAGAGAGAGATGGGTGGACGAAGAGCGGGTGAGCAGAAGGATGAGAAAATCTCTGTGAACAAGACAGGAAGCAAGTAATGAAGGGAGAAAATCTCTGTGAACAAGACAGGAAGCAAGTAATGAAGGAAGACGGACAGAGGGAGAGAGCAATGTTCGCTTTGAGCCCGGTCGTTACTTTATTTCATTTTTTACTAGTTTTTAGCAGGGCTGGTCGCCGGATGGACCGGGGACCCCTACCCCATCCGCGGTCCTTCCGGTTGGACCGGACGGTGGCACGGGCCGGTTCCCTCCCGGTTGCCCCCAGCACATTTTCGCTGGGGGCTGAATTTTTTTTTTTGTCGGCGCGTATGTGTTCCCAAGGCCTCGTGGGGGCGGGCCCTGCCCCGCAATTTCGAAACCGGGTCCTGTAGGCCCGGATTTTTCAAGTACAGAAAGTGGCCAATCTTSGCCGCCGATCGTCGCAGATCAGCGGCAAAGATCGGCCAGGACCCCATTTCTATAAGAAAAACGGGCAGACGATATCCGCCGCTGATCTATGCAGATCAGCAGCGGAGAACAGCCATGCATTTTTCCTAAGATGTGGGTACAGAAAGTGGCCA